ACCAGGTAACCCACTACGCCCTATAATCAGCCAAATACCAACCCCAACTTATCACCTGGCAAAGAAACTCAATGAACTCCTAACTCCATACACTCCAAGTAAGTTTAGTCTACAATCATCAGCAGATTTCATAGAATTGATCAAATCAACCCAGCCCGATGGAGTCATCGCTTCCCTGGACGTTGAATCCCTTTTTACCAACGTCCCAGTCGACACAACCATAGGAATGATACTGGACAGAGTATACAGAGACGAGAGCACCCCCAAATTAGACATACCTGAGCCACACTTGAAAAGTCTTCTCGAAGCATGTACAAAGGAAGCCCCTTTCATCAGTCCACAAGGAGACATGTATTTACAAATAGACGGAGTAGCAATGGGCTCCCCCTTAGGAGTTTTATTTGCTAATTTTTATATGGGAACCATCGAAGATAGGGTCTTCAGTAGCAGACAAAAACCAACTGTATACTGCCGTTATGTAGATGACATATTCGTAATCGTAAAAGACTCAGATGAACTAATTGACCTAAAAAGACACCTAGAGAGAGAGTCAGTACCCCGATTTACACATGAAAATAGTGAAAATAACAATCTGCCATTCTTGGATGTACTAATAACAAAAACAGGAACCTCTTTAAGCACCAACGTATATACCAAGCCCACCACCATAGGATTATGCCTGAACGGTAGAAGTGAGTGCCCCAAAGATACAAAGCCAGTGTTCTCAATGCTTATATTCGTCGAGCGCTTACCCACTGCTCTGAATGGAGCAACGTGAGTAGAGAGTTTGAAAGAGTAACTCAGGTATTGGTGAACAACGGATATAGCAACGCAGAAATAAACGCTGCTATAAGAAGACACTTGGACCGTTGGTATAATTCAGAACCTAGAACAGAAACCACAACACCCCCAATAAAATTATATTACAAATCAACCATGCACAGTGAACATATAAAAGAGGAAAGAATAATGAAAGAAATAATCCGTAAAGGAGTAAAAAGCACTACTCCTAACCAAAACATAAACCTGATAATATTCTACAAAACCAAGAAGACTTCCGAACTCCTTATCAAAAAAAGCCCGAAGCCGACGGAGAACCCTCTACAGCAGTCAAGCGTTGTATACATGTACACTGGCCCCCACGAAGGATGTAACCTTCAATGTAAGTACATAGGTATGACGTCGACCAAGCTGACGAGGCGTTTGACATGCCATCTTCAATCTGGTGCCCCTAGGAATCACATGAGACAAGCCCATGACATTACTCTAACAAGAGAAATGTTGAACAAGAATACTTGCATAATAGACAAAACCCAAGATTCAAGAAGATTACAAATTCTTGAGGCAATTCACATAAGAATAGAGCGACCTACCATGAACACCCAAATCACGGAACTATTTACTCTACCCACCATGAGAGTAAGGACAAGACAAGAACATATCGATGCCAACACAGAAGACAATGTCCAACATAACAGGCCAATTACACTGGATTAATCTTTGTGTTTAGATAGGAGATGCCTCGTATGGGCCAATACGCCTTCTGCAGCCCCTATGTTTATCCCTCCATGTTTTTCACCTTCATTGTATTATCACCTGACCTAATGCGGGTATAAAATCAACTAGTATTGTAAGATCTGTTCACTTGAGAATGAACCATGGAGGTTCGAAACGTCGTGCAAATTATACAAATAAGTGTAATACACTCTATAGTAAACCACTTCTTTTCTTCACCTTAAAAGTACGAAAATGAGTTTTGGAGAACTCCTATTCCAATTAAGCCCTGATGCTAAGAAAATAGTTAGAGGGATAGAAGCCCTAAACCAGAAAATAATAAATACAGAATATGCGGTCATATTCAATGAAACATGTTTGAAAGAAAACCTGCTGCCAGTATACACCAATATATATATATATATATATATATATATATATATATATATATATATATATATATATATATATATATATATATATATATTATATTTATATATATATATATATTTATATATATATATATTTATATATATATATATTTATATATATATATATATATTTATATATATAAATATACACATATATATATATATATATATATATATATATATATATATATATATATATATATATAACTGAAAACTCACACCCCAGAAGTGACTCGAACCCATACTCCCAGGAGCAACGCAACTGGTATGTACAAGACGCCTTAATCCACTTGACCATCACGACCGGACAAAATGAGGTGATAGCCGAGGCTATTTGAACCACCCCACCGCCAGCACTCGGATAGTAATCTTGGGCATAGCATTTTACCAAATCACCTCATTCTTTGGGGCACACGTGAGGAACACAAATGCGAACAAGCCTGAATGGTCCCCAGGACAATATTCAAATAGTGGTTCAAATAGCCTCGGCTATCACCTCATTTTGTCCGGTCATGATGGTCAAGTGGATTAAGGCATCTTGTACATACCAGTTGCGTTGCTCCTGGGAGTATGGGTTCGAGTCACTTCTGGGGTGTGAGTTTTCAGTTGCATATTGTCCTGGGGACCATTCAGGCTTGTTCGCATTTGTGTTCCTCACGTGTGCCCCAAAGAATGAGGTGATTTGGTAAAATGCTATGCCCAAGATTACTATCCGAGTGCCGGCGGTGGGGTGGTTCAAATAGCCTCGGCTATCATCTCATTTTGTCCGGTCGTGATGGTCAAGTGGATTAAGGCGTCTTTTACATACCAGTTGCGTTGCTCCTGGGAGTATGGGTTCGAGTCACTTCTGGGGTGTGAGTTTTCAGTTGCATATTGTCCTGGGGACCATTCAGGCTTGTTCGCATTTGTGTTCCTCACGTGTGCCCCAAAGAATGAGGTGATTTGGTAAAATGCTATGCCCAAGATTACTATCCGAGTTCCGGCGGTGGGGTGGTTCAAATAGCCTCGGCTATCACCTCATTTTGTCCGGTCGTGATGGTCAAGTGGATTAAGGCGTCTTGTACATACCAGTTGCGTTGCTCCTGGGAGTATGGGTTCGAGTCACTTATGGGGTGTGAGTTTTCAGTTGCATATTGTCCTGGAGACCATTCAGGCTTGTTCGCATTTGTGTTCCTCACGTGTGCCCCAAAGAATGAGGTGATTTGGTAAAATGCTATGCCCAAGATTACTATCCGAGTGCCGGCGGTGGGGTGGTTCAAATAGCCTCGGCTATCACCTCATTTTGTCCGGTCGTGATGGTCAAGTGGATTAAGGTGTCTTGTACATGCCAGTTGCGTTGCTCCTGGGAGCATGGGTTCGAGTCACTTCTGGGGTGTGAGTTTTCAGTTGCATATTGTCCTGGGGACCATTCAGGCTTGTTCGCATATAGATATATATATATATATATATATATATATATATATATATATATATATATATATATATATATATACATATATATATATATTTATATATATATATGCAATTGACCATCACAAAACACTGATCATTTTATGCGGAAAATTCACAGAGATAGGAAACCTACCAACGTGGGGTCGTATGTTCATTTTTATTCGAATCATCATAGCAAAGTTAAACAGGAAGTATTTTCAGGAATGTTTCTACGAGCTTTGAGGGTATGCAGCCCTGAGTTTTTTGATGAAGAGATTGCTAAAATATATGAAATTGGGAAGAGTTTACAATATCCTAAGAGGTTTTTGGATTTCTCGTTTGAACAAACCAAGCGTACGTTTTATAATCACGTCCCTAAGGCGGAACCAGAAATTATTAACTCATTGGTGGTACCTTATGCGAATGGACTTGAAAAATTGTCTCTGATTTTTAAGAAACTTAATATAAATTTGGTGTTCACTAATAGTACGATCAAATCCAATTTAATAAAAACCTCCCCTGATACAGCAGGTTGTGTGTATTCAATTCCCTGCAATGACTGTGATTCTGTGTACCTTGGACAAACAGGAAAGTCCTTACAATTGCGGTTGTCACAACATGCTTATAGTATTAGAACTGTCCAAACGTCTAATGCATTGTATCTACATACGAGTTTATGCGATCACAATATTAACTGGAATGGGGCAAAAAGCATTACCAATTGTGGGGATTTCGTGGAACGGAATTTAATTGAGTCTGCTCTAATCAGAGTCCAAATCTTCCATCCAAATATATATATATATATATATATATATATATATATATATATATATATATATATATTTATATATATATATATATATATATATATATATATATATATATATATATATATATATATATATATATATATATATATATTTTGCATGAGTGTAAGTGTAATACATATAATGGGAGAAATGCTTTCAAACTTAACAACGATGTAACTCTTTGTATCCTCTTCCGACAACCACCCATTCTATATAATAAAAAGCAGAATAAAGATAAATGATGTATCGTCGCTGGAATGCGATTGTTTGTTTCTGAATTTACAGGCAATATTAGTTTTACTTGAAAAAATAAGTATCATGATGGACGGGACTTGCATAAAATTTATGCATAGTTCATGAATAAATTATTTTGAATGTTCACTTTATCTGAATGGTTCCTTGCAGCCCCTTCAGTGCTCATTGTTTGATTTGTTTGGTTACTACAATGTGTTATAATAAATCTTATTGCGTTTTTTGATTGTTCATGAAGTGTAAAAATCAGTATATATTTTACAAGTTTAACTATTGCTCTGAAATTCAAATATGTATATAACAAAAAAGGGGAAAGCGCCAAGCCATATCACTGGGAAGGGAGTCAGGATAAGGATTTGGAAATGGATTGGGGGAAGGAATGGTACCCAACAACTTGGACGGTCTGGGACTGAACGCCGACCTGCATGGAGCGAGACGGTCGCTCCAAGCAAGTTAGATAGAGTATCAAATGGTTGGATAGAGAATCAAATAGTTTTTCCGGAGCAGATCGACATGCCGAATGATAAATTTTGTGAAAAGTAAGTCCTAGTCCACACATAAGCTCCAAAGAGACAACGCGTACCTTTATGACCAGAAATATGCAGAAGACTACAGCAGTTACGCCGAGAGTCTTCATGGCGGCGATTTACAGCCAGAATTGTAAACACGGCGCAAACTGCAGCTCTTGTTCTCTGCCGTGACTCTGACACTGTGTAGGGAAGCCAGTCACCAGCACAAGGTGTTCGATCGCTGTATAAAGAGTTCTGCTGGTGTTTTTATGCTGTGATATATTTATAAGCTTGCTGCAAAAGTGATACCACAGGTGGTGCAATATTTCAGGTGTGTGTATGTGTGGCCAGTACCGCGCCCGTCAACATCATTTATCTTCTTGTTTTTCATACGGTGGGTGTTTGGCTTGCCATAATAAAAAGATTTCTTTAGTTGCATTTTACTTACTTTATTTTACTCGCAAAATATTAAAAGTAAATGAAGAGAGAAAATTATGTAACAAAATTTTAAAACGTTATAAACTGACTAAAATGGGCGTATAAAGTATAAAGTTAAAGAGTATAAAGAATGCTTTAGAAGGAAATTGATATTATAGTAACTTGAAAGCCGTATTAATTCGACTGCCACTCGTCTCACACTTCCAAAATCGGAGATTTAATTGGATTTTAAAATTTTACCCTGTGGGGGTGAGTTTATTGGGCATCGCCACTCATCTTGTGAGTGAGCATACCGCCATAGCAACATGTACCCCAATGCTGCAATTTCTTCCGCCAATTGAAAGAAAACCTGCTGGATTTTTTCATCCTGCCACTTGTACCCAGAGATGGGACTTACTTAACTGTCGCCAGTGAACAGTTAATGGAACAAGAAAATTATCGATTACCAACCCCTAAACTTGCATTATCTTGCAAGTGAAAGTGGGGGGAATCTTTTAAGAACAGTATCTATATTTGACAAATAGTGTTTTTCCTAAATCAAACACTGTGGGGATTTATTATTCTACACATATTTCGAATGTCTCTTAGATCGGAACAATCTCGCAGGTAGTGGACAAGGCGATGTCCATCACTATCACGGCATATTTTACAGCTCTTCTGTTCAGCTGTTGTTTCCATCCCAAATCCCCATGGGTATTACAGACTCTCTCCCGCGGCCACCTCATCTTCGGCCATAATGATTGGGATTGCCAGCTGCAAACGCATTGTACCAGCGTACAAATTCACTAGTTTGTGTTTCTATCCTCTTTTCCTCAATTACCTTGCCACGATTTGTGCAACATCATCAGGCCACACGGTGAAGTTGCCTGATGATACCCCTAACTTGTGAGTCTTGGGTATGAAGTGTTCAATATGGTGTTCTTCAGCGCCCTCAGCAGCCAGCTCATCTGCTCGTTCGTTTCCACAGATTCCAACATGGAAGGGAATCCATAAGTACTTGATCACCTTTCCCCGATTGATTAGTGTTTTCACAGCACTCTTGACTTCAGCAACTATCACTCGGTGTTTTGCCTGTTTTCTTCAAAGCTTTGCACTGCTGCTTTTAAATCAATGCAGATTACTACACCTTTAGTGTTTCTTTCAAGGAATCGTAATGTCATAACAATGGCAGTTAGCTCTGCTGGCGCTGTGGAGGCATTGTTCTCAATACGTGCCTTTTCTTCATTATCGTTTTGAAAGACATTATTCCTAATTACCGTGAATGCTGCTCCAGCTCTCCAGTTAGTAGGATTAGTTGAACTATCAGTGTAGATTTGATCAAATTCATTTCCAGCTTCTTTATACAAAATTTCCTCGAGACACTTATGCCTTATTTCTTGTGGCATCAGGTTGGAGTTTTTCGTTATTATCTCGTATATAATAATTTTACATGGTTCATTCTCCCAGGGAGATAACATCCATACAGGCATGAGTTCACGGGCTTGCTCAAGCAGATGAAGATCTTTCGAAGCAGCAGACCAACGGAATGCCATATTTTGCTTTTCCTGTTTCCACTTGTAATTAGCACAGAACTAATTTTTTTCCTTGGCAATATCAGTGTAGTGGGGGATTTCTGGCTCTCTTAATTGCAAGCTTAGCATTTAGTTCCATAACTCTGCATTTAATGCTGAGGGGATGACAGTTCTTCGCTTTATTAGTTTTGTTAATTTATTATACACCCCATACCCATAGGTATGGCCTGTAGGCAGAGGTGAAAAGGGGTGCATCCCATGCACATAAAGAGCCATACACATAAATCCCATACGCATAAGTTCACGGGTTTGCTTGAGCAGATGAAGATCTTCGAAGCAGCAGACTAACGGAATGCCATTTTTTACTTTTCCTGCCCATTATGTGCAAGAGGCACATGTCTCTGAGCCCATTATGTGCCAGAGGCACATCATGGGCTCAGAGATTGAACCCCACAATTCATTTAGCTAAGCAAGTTAGTCTTGATGAGCTAGTTACAACATTCAATGCACATCGTCACATCAACAGTGGGCTCGAGAACGACCACAAGTACAGTTTCTAAATTAAGCAACTGACTTGTGTGGAGAGCTAGTGTCACACTTGATATGTTTATCCTGCACCCCCCCCCCCTATCCAGTGGGCAGCGCTGGATATGTTACAATCACTTGGTTACTACCTACAGCAATCTGAGGATATTTGGCAAAATTTTCTGGTAGCAGAAAATTTTGAATAAAATTTGTATATATCTCTTAAACATTTGGTCTAGAATTGTCTCTGAACTCATTTATCTTTTCGCACTCACATAGTGCGAAAATTTTCATCACATAGTGACGGAGGATGTGCAAATAATTTTGTTGACACAGTTTAAATTTGGCCAGGTCTACATCGGCAGGTAATGAAAATTCCAAGAAATACTTGTAACCGAGTTTAAGCCGAGCATTAGTAGCATCTAGGAGTTGCTGATTTTATTGGATGACCCACAGATATGTGGCTCTTCTTACAGGATACTATGATGAGAGATGGAATTGATAGTGTCGATTTAACTTTGCCTCGCTTTGATTCGTGCTTTGCCAGTTTTTAGGACTCCAAGAATGATTGTCATGGCTTCTTTTTGTGTGCTTTCAAGTCTTTTCAAATAGCTTTGGGAGCTAGTTGTGGGAAATATTTCTTTACATGTAAGCAGAAATAAATGAATACTGACTATATCTAATAATACACAACTATGAGGACTCGTCCTCTGATCAGAAATAATAACTTTAATCAAAATGCCTAGTTATGTCTGACGCAATAATTTTAGAATTCTAGCCAGATTCTCTTTACTTTAATATGTGACAACTGAGCTACTAAAATTATCTTGTTGGTTCTCATTATTAATTCACTATGAAGGAAATTAGAGTTAATACCTGAAGTTTTTTCAAATCTATATAAATAAAAATGTAAATGTTCGTTTGTTCAAAATCGCTAATCTCCGAAAGTTATTCATCGATTGCTTTGAAATTTTGACACAACGTTCCATTCGCATCCGAGCTGGGTTTTGTATACATACTATATAAATGGCACGTCTGTGAAGAGAAAAACATGTTTTTTTTTTTTAAACTGAGTTTTCATGTGAGGGAAATCCTCGAAACCTATTCACCGATTGCTTTGAAAATTTGACACAACTTTGCATTCGAATATGCGCGTGTTTTTATAGACCTACTATGTACATGCCTCACCTGTGACAGAGAAAAACATGGTTTTTTTTTTTAAACTGTGCCATCTGTTGGACATAATAGCAACACACACTGTAATCTCCGAAAGTTCTTCACCGATTACTTTGAGATTTTGACACAACTGTCAAATATAATATGTATTCAAATACGTCAAATTTTGACATATTCGAATATGCACGTGTTTTATATGTCTACTATATAGATGCCACAACTGTGACAGGTAAAAAAAAAAATTATGTCGTAAAACAGAGCCATCTGTTGCATGTAATAGCAACACTCGCTATACTAAATATGTTACGATTCCATTTCATTTTTCCTATTGCATTGCTAAATTGAATTTTCATAGAACTCGATTTATTTTCATTTTGATTTAATAATTATTTTATGTGACATTGCGATGGAATTGAGCTGTGTTGTTTACCATACCATTCATTCGTAAGTATAAGTATAGATGCCACACCTGTGACAGGTAAAAATATATATATATTTTTTTAAGAAACAGCGCCATCTGTTGCACGTAAGAGCAACACATGCTATACTAAGTACATTACGATTCCATTACAATGTTTCCAATTGCATTGACAAATTGAATTTTCATATATTTTGACTTATTTTCATTTTGATTTAATTATTTTGTGTGACATTGCGTTGGAATTGGGCTGTATTGCTTACTATACCGTTCATATCATGAGTATAATTTATTTTTTTATTTTTTCAATGTTTTTCATTTAATTTTTTTTTACTGTTTTTGCATATTTCCAGTGATGGAAAATCAGATAATTTGATGTTCCCAATTTTCTTAAGGGAACATCAGATCATTTGGGAATGCATCAGACGAGGGAGTGGGGGATGATGGGGAGGACGAGAGGACTGGAGTGTGGGATGGTGGGGAGGACGAGGGGGCAGGGGATGGGGTAATGGTGGGGAGGACGAGGGGACGGGGGAGTTGGGGATGGTGGGGAGGACGAGGGAACGGTGGAGTAGGAAATGGTTAGGAGGACGAGGGGACTGTGGAATGCTGGGCAGACCAAAGGGACGGGAGAGAGGGAAATAGTGGGGAGGATGTGGGGATGGGGGAGTGGGGAATGGTTGAGAGGATGAGGGGACAGGGGGAGGGGGAAATGGTGGGGAGGACTGGGAGACAGAGGAAGGTTGTTGTGGCTCAGCAACGAATGTGCATTGCTGGGACGTCCCAGGACGGGATGGGACCCCATACCCGTCCTGTGGGTGGTAGTGGACACCATACCCGTCCTGTGGGTGGTAGTGGACCCCATACCCGTCCTGTAGGTGGTAGTGGACCCCATATTCGTCCAGTGGGTGGTAGTGTACCCCATACCCGTCCAGTGGGTGGTAGTGGACCCCATACCCGTCCTGTTTCCTGCAACCCGTGGCAGGATACAGCTAGTTAATAATATAAATTTGGTCTTATGATCAATAATAATTTAACGGTTCCTTCAAATTGAATAATAATATCTACTTTCATCCCCGAATGCTGGTGAGGGCGGTGGGAAGGTCCGCGTTTACAACAGCAGCCACTGGGGAGAAGATTCGCCACGCCAGCTGTGTGGGGCG